GCCCTGGAAAAGGGCTTGTTTGGGGGGGGGGGGAACCAAACAATGGGAAATGGAGGATAGGTATATTGTCACCTAAATAACTGCAGTGGCACCCTTCCTTTCTTCCTAGCATGCAGTCGTGAGGGGTGGGTGGGGGAAGCGGGGGTTGGGAGACGATGGCGGAGACGATCCTGCATTGGGGCAGATCCTGCTTTGCCCATCGCCTCCATGCTCGTGCGGGCATCATCAACCTCGGCCAAGCCCACGCCGAACCCCCTCATCCTTCTGCAAAAAAACGCAGCAAGGAAAGCCGGCCGTTTCCCTGTTCTTTCGCCCGCCTCCCCCCCCCCCCNCTGATGGGAGGCTTTCCTCCTCTCGCTTTCTGCTGCTCTGTGCTTGCCTGCCTGCTCCCTCAGGTGAGTGCAGAGGAAAAGAAATGGAGGTGGGTGCAGGAGGAAGGTATAAACCCTGGCTTTGCCAAAGGAAAAGGCAGGAGAACCGCAGTTCCTTACCTTCCACAGCCATTCTCTCAGAGCTTGCTTAGTGCATGCATAATTCTCCTGCCGAGAGATGCTGCTGCTATTTCTCCTCCTTCCTTCCTCCCAACCCCCCTTTTTTCCCCCTTCCTTCCTTTCCTCTCCCTCTTTCCCTCCTTCTCTTTCTCCCTCCACGGCTTTCTCTTTTGCTCCTCTGCAGCCGAGAACCTGCAGCCAGAAAGTGGGAGCCCCGTTTCCCGGTGCAGGCTGGGAAATGTAGTCATGGTCTGCCTCAGTGCCTTCCCCAAAAGAGTAGGTGCTTGGGGGGAGTTCCCTCCACAAACACATCCAGGGCTCCGCGTACGAACCGCGAGCCCAGCCCAGGAGGAATTGCCAATTGCCCCCTCGCCATGCCTTTGGTACGCTAAGCCAGCCGGGCCATTATAAAACTACAAATCCCGACATGCATTGCGGCAAGGTTTGGCGGCCAGCTGAAGTGGAGCTGTTTGATTGAAGACTGGTTGTGAAATTACGGGAGGAGGCAGGTAGAGGCAACGAGGGCAGGGCAAGAGAAATCAGCGCAGCTGACTGGAACTGGGAAAAAAAAAAGAATACAGATATATCTATTTTGCCAAGATAACAAGACATCTGCTTCCAAAGTGGCTTCGTTTGTAGTTGCTGACATGCAAAGCCATTATATTGAATGCGAGAGTACTGTAATGTTAATTTTAGTAGATGTTCCGCATATTATTTTGGAAATGGAATTATTACCTTTTATTAATAATATAATGACTAGACTGCTATAGTGCATTTCTGCTGGGTTCTACTGATTCTTCAAAAAATGGTCTGAAGCTCCACATCAAGAAAAACAAAAACAAAAAACTAAGATCATGGTTACTGGTCCCATCACCTCCTGGCAAATAGAAGGGGAAGATATGGAGGCAGTGACAGATTTTACTTTCTTGGGCTCCATGATCACTGCAGATGGTGACAGCAGCCACGAAATTGAAAAACGCCTGCTTCTTGGGAGGAAAGCGATGACAAACCTCGACAGCATCTTAAAAAGCAGAGACATCACCTTGCCAACAAAGATCTGCATAGTCAAAGCGATGGTTTTTCCAGTAGCGATGTATGGAAGTGAGAGCTGGACCATAAAGAAAGCTGACTGACGAAGAATTGATGCTTTTGAATTGTGGTGCTGGAGGAGACTCTTGAGAGTCCCCTGGACTGCAAGAAGAACACAGATAGGCGCCTAGCCGCCTAGAGTGGTCTGGAGCTGCCTAGAGTGGTCTGGTAGTCCAGATAGGCGGGGTACAAATCAAATCAAATCAAATCAAATCAAATCAAATAAATAAATATCCGTTGATGCTTTTGAATTGTGGTGCTGGAGGAGACTCTTGAGAGTCCCCTGGACTGCAAGGAGAACAAACCTATCCACCTAGCCGCCTAGAGTGGTCTGGAGCCGCCTAGAGTGGTCTGGTAGTCCAGATAGGCGGGGTACAAATCAAATCAAATCAAATCAAATCAAATCAAATAAATAAATATCCGTTCGAAAGGAAATCAACCCTGAGTGCTCACTGGAAGGACAGATCCTGAAGCTGAGGCTCCAATACTTTGGCCATCTCATGAGAAGAGGAGACTCGCTGGAAAAGCCCCTGATGTTGGCAAAATGTGAGGGCAAGAGGAAGGGGACGACAGAGGATGAGATGGTTGGACAGGGTCATCAAAGTGACCAGCATGAATTTGATCAAACTCCAGGAGGCAGTGGAAGACAGGAGGGTCCGGCATGTTCTGGTTCATGGGGTCACAAAGAGTCGGGCACAACTTAATGACTAAACAACAATAACAAAACTGATTCTTCCAGAATCCTCCCATCCTCCTGCTGCACTATCCCAGTACACCCCCCCCCAAAAAAAATGATTTGGAGGCTGATAAATCCTCTAGAGCAGGATTTTTGGCACCACGGACAGCTGCTGGGAAAGAGGAAGAAAGTTCCATTTCCACTGGTGCTGAGTACAAAAGCATCCAATAGGATTTGGGCTAGTTTTATTAAATGATGCATTGCTGTGGGTTCTTCCCCTCTATCTTTCCAATATGTTCTCTGAAATCCTTCAGATATCTATCTGTATCACACTATGTTGAGATTAAGTTAGACTTTGAGTGGGATTAAATATATTTTGGTAGAACTTTATGAAAAAGCAATAATGCCTTGATTCATTCTATGAAGGAAGTGGAAATGTTCCTTAAGAGGAAGCATATGTCACTCGAGATTAAGACAAAGATTATCCAGATTATGGTACTGTTGACTTCTACGTATGACTGTAAAAGCTGGGCAGTGAAGAAAGCTGATAAGAATTAAAAATTGACTCATTCTAAATGTGATGCGGGAAGAAAGCTTTATGGATACTATCAACTGCCCCCCCCCAAAAAAGACAAATGTCTGGGTGAAGCCTGAATTCTCACTAGAATTTAAAATGACTAAACCAGGTTTTGTACCTTGTGCATAACATGAGACAGTAAGCCTTACTGGAAAAGATAATAATTCTGGCTAAATTCAAGGCAGCAGGAAAAGAGGAAGATATCACATGAGATGTATTAACTCAACAAAGGAAGCTATGGCCTTTAATTTCTAAGATCTGAGCAGGGCATTAATGACAGGACCTTTTGGAAGTCAGTAATTCATATAGTTGATGGCACATAACAACATAGCAACTTGATTCAAGTACTTTTTAAAATCTCATTAAGTCCTTTAAAAAGGTAAAGGTTCCCCTTGACATTTTCAGTCCAGTCATGTCTGACTCTAGGATGCGGTGCTCATCCCTGTGTCCAAGCCATAAAGCCAGCATTTGTCCGAAGACAGTTTCCGTGGTCACGTTGCCAGCGCAACTAGACATGAAACGCTGTTATCTTCCCACCGAGGTGGTACCTATTTATCTACTTGCATTTGCATGCTTTCGAACTGCTAGGTTGGCAGGAGCTGGGACAAGTGACGGGTGCTCACTCCGTCGCGTGGATTCGATCTTACGACTGCTTGGTCTTCTGACCCTGCAGCACAGGCTTCTGCGGTTTAGCCCACAGCGCCACCATGTCCCTCATTAAGTACTTACCTACCCGCAATTCTGGCAGGGAAATGTAGAAATCTTCCAGTATGTGTTTCTCAACAGAACTGGTGGGGTGTAGTGGATAAAGACCGACAAATTAGGATTTAGGCAACCTGAATTCAAATGCCTGCTCTCTTATGGAAACTCACTAGAGGTTATAAACCGTTTTTTACATATCTCACTTTCAAAAACATTAGGTTGCATCTGAATAAGTCAGATACAGCTTGATGGCATGTTGGGGGCAAAATTTTCCTTGCATAATTATGTTGTAAACCATTCAAAGAGTGCTCTAGCACCATGGGGCGGCATATAACTCAAAACAATAACATGTTTTCAAAGGTTTGAACTTGTGGCTCATTTTGTTGCTTGCAAATGGCAGAATGTACTGTATTTTTCTGTTTATGACACACTCCCATTTATAAGACTCCTCCCACTTTTCTAACCCAAAAATTAAGAAAACTTAGCTTTGAGAATTCAGCCACTGGACTCAGAACACTCGGACATTCAGTGTCCCTGTTGAATCTGAGCCTGTAGGCTCCACCTCCAATGAGGTGTGTTCTGATTGGTTGGTACAACATCAGCTGACATCAGTTACGTAAGGCTTGTGTTTGGAGGAAGCCTGTTTACAGAGGCAAGGTATGTACCGTTTTGTTCTCTCCTCAGCTATCTCAGCTTCCGTGTAAAAGTTGCCCCTCAATTTTTAGTGTAATGATTTTAGGGGAGAGTAGTGTCTTACACACGGAAAAATACAGTAATTATTTAAGCTGTGTGTCCTAAAGTTCTGGCTACCTTTTTAGATTAAAAACAACAATGCCATTGTTGTACAGACCTGGCAAAGCATCATGTGAGCAAATGAAAGTAGCCAGCAGTCCTAAAGAAGCATCTACTCCATCTAAGTGTATCTGAATTCCATAGTTACATGAGTTTGGCGATGTATTTAGAATTATTGGTTAGGTATTTTAGGGGATGGGGGGGAATGTTGTCATCTTTTGAGTGACTTCAACACACCTGCCCCTCCAACACTCCCATTTTTAATACAGTAGGGATTGGTACTTGCAGTTTCATCTGAAGAATACTGAAAATATTAAAAGAAAAGAAAATAGAAATATAAATTATCATGGTGTATTTACCAGAACTAGCCATCAGAGGGAGCCGGAGACCATGCTATATACAGTATTATTGTTGTTAAAGAATATATACTCCCCCTAGTGGTCAAAACTAGTAATACATGCTGGAAATGCCTTTTTCTGGATTTTTTTTTTCTTTTATCATGCTGTGTGTAGCATTCGCTTTTATTCTTGGTTTTGAACATCTGCGGGGCGCTTGAAAACAATCACCCTTGGATATGGGGGTCCTACTGTATATATTTTTAAAAGCTGTCACTAGAGGGCACAAGAAGGCCTCAGTTAAAAATTAAAACTACAGTTTTAGTAAGAAAAATTGAGGTAGTGGGGATCCTAAGAGCAAGTGTGGTTCTCCAAGCAGAAGGAATGGGCATGTGAAGCCCCACCCCCATCCCCTTGAAACTGCCCACCTCTGGTTTAGAAGTACATTCCTGACCACATCATGGACTTGTACATACCCTCTTCAGCTTTCGAGCCTAGATCTGTGGGTCACAGGGAAAATGCTGACACAAAACCTAGGGCAGTGATGGCGAACCTTTTTGACCCTGAGCGCCCAAACAAAAACCAAATTATTTATCTTTTATTGTATTTTAATTTAATTTTAATTGTTGTAAGCCGCCCAGAGACCTTTGGGTAAGTTAAGTTAAATAAATAAATAGTTTAGAAAAAACAACTCATGTCATTTATACATTTTGTCTGTCTGGTTCTTTATTGATTCCTCCAACTGACAGCCCTTTTAGAAAAAAGTCAAGTGCAAAATGCTACACTGAATTAAATGCAATGCGTTCCAATGGAAATCGCTGCCCCGTTCAGCGATGCTTCAGCATAGCGAAGGTTAATCCGGAACGGATTAACCTCGCTATGCGAGGCACCACTGTACTTATATTTTATACACTACATAAAGTGTATACACACATTTCACTTATTTGAAATGTAGTGCTGGAAAAGAGATTTACCGATATCATGATTTGTCAGTAAGATAAACAAAGCAAATTAAGTGTGGACTCTCACTAGAAGCTAAAATAACCAAGCAAAGCATATTGTA